ACAAAATCAAATAACTGGGGGCCACTTTGTTGTTCGCAATAATTAATAATTAGTAGTTGAGCATCATCATCTTCAGTCAACATATCTCTTGCCGGAAGTAGTTATCATAATATTTATCACTCCAATACATAAACTCACTCAACAAACAATTTGATCAGTTTAGATTGAAAATGGCAGCTTATGCAGCTGTTGTTTCTCTTATGAATGTTATCTATAACATCCAAAATCATCCTCAATTTTCCATTTCTCTTTTCGACGAGCAACAGGCTGAATCTCTCGGCGAGAAGCTTGATTTCTTGGTAGATTTTATAGAGAGCAATCATTCTCACGAATTGCTGGAGAGCGAAATTGCAACCGCAGCCTATGCGGCTGAAGATGTAATCGAATCTCATATTGTCGACCAAATCCATTCCGGTTCGATTTCTTCGCTCGATCTCCAGACAATAATCAAAGACATGGACTATGTGAAGGATAAGGTTGTCAATTTTAAGGAGGAAGAAGGAGGATTATCCAAAGTTCATCGACAGTATTCAATGTCTGCTACTTCATCAACACCTCCGATTACCGGTGGCGGAAAGAGCACAAAAATGGTGGGATTTGAGGAGGAGTTGATTCAACTTTTGGATGCTCTCACCGGACGACAATCGAGTCTGCAAATCATCCCAATTGTAGGCATGGGCGGCATTGGTAAGACTACTCTTGCTCGAAATGCTTACGAAAGTCGATTAATTGTGAATCACTTTGATATTTGTGCTTGGGCTACAATATCTCAAGAGTATAGTCTCAAAGAAATCTTTTCAAAACTTCTTTCTCCCGAAAATGGTCAATCCGCTAATGAACAACAATTATCTCAAAAGTTGTATCAAAGTCTAATAGGTCGGAGATATTTGATTATATTGGACGATATATGGAGTATCGATGCTTGGGAAAAGATGATGATTTTCTTTCCAGATAACAACAATGGAAGTCGAATTATCCTAACCACTAGGCTGTCAAATGTTGCTGGTCATTTTGGCTCGTCGTACTTTTCCAAGAAATTTCTAGATGAAGATCAAAGTTGGAAGCTATTTTGTGAAAAGGCATTTCCGCATAAAGAAGTTTGTCCTCCTGAATTAGAGAAACTTGGAAAGAAGGTTGCTAAAAAATGCAAAGGGCTTCCTTTATTAATTGTTGTGATTGGAGGTCTTCTTAAGTCTAAAACGCAAGAATTATGGGAGAATATCGCAAATAATATAAATTCAATTTTGACTTCAGAAGAAGATACCCAAAGGTTGGATATATTGTCCTTGAGTTATAGTCACTTACCTGCCCATTTAAAAGCGTGTTTTCTTTACATGGGAATTTTTCGTGAGGACTGTGAGATTCTTGTCTCCGTAATTATCAAACTTTGGATTGCTGAGGGATTTATAAAACCAAATAAAACCCAAAGTTTGGAAGATGTTGCAGAGTGCTACTTGAAGGAACTTGTTGACAGAAATCTCCTTTTAGTTGGTGGCTTGAAATTGAATGGAAAAATAAAAACTTGCACTATCCACGATCTTTTAAGAGACTTATGCATTAAGACAGCTCAAAAAGAGAAATTTCTTTATTTGATCAGGTTTTGTGGCAGTTTGTCGGGCATAAATAAGGCGTGTCGTCGCATTTTGTGTCAGAAAATTG